GAGGTGGAGGCGTCCGTAGACACCACCTTCACACTCGAAGCGGTCCCCAGACTCACACCTGACTGATACCAGTCGGTCACTTTCCAAGGTTCCAGAGCTGAAACGCACTGAAGGTCGACCCTGAGGCGAAACAGACCCGCTGTCCATGCCCTGGGTGGAACCCGCGCGTTCAGCCACATCTGCAGTGGGCGCATGCGGAGCAAGCCCAACTGGAGTACAGAGGCTGCTGAGGCCATCAGCCCCAGCACTTTCTGAAACCTTTTGAGCGGAACTATCGCGCCGTGGCGGAAGGATTTCACGCCGCGCTGAATACTCAGTACGCGCTCTGGTGACAGGCGTGCTGTCATGGACAGCGAGTCCAACACGGTTCCCAGAAAGGAAATTTTCCGACTGGGAGACAGTGAGCTCTTCGCCCAATTGACTGTGAGGCCCAGCTCCTCGAGGTGCTCGAGTAATGCGGCCCTGTGTTCTATGAGCTCCGATCGTGATCGAGCTAGAATCAGCCAATCGTCCAAGTAGTTCAGGACTCGCATGCCCTGAAGTCTCAGGGGTGCGAGCGCCGCGTCCATGCACTTCGTAAATGTACGAGGTGCTAGGGACAGGCCGAACGGCAGGACTGTGTATTGATATGCCTGGCCCTCGAAGGCGAATCTCAAAAATCGCCTGTGATGGGACGCTATTTGTATCTGGAAATAAGCGTCTTTCAGATCTATTGACATAAACCAGTCCCCGTGGCGCACTTGCGCGAGGATTTTCCTGGTCGTAAGCATTCTGAACTGGCGTTTGACAAGCGCTCTGTTCAGCTGTCGCAGATCTAAAATGGGTCTGAGACCCCCATCCTTTTTCGGTACCAGAAAATATCTGCTGTATAGGCCCCCTTCGCTCTGAGATAAAGGTTCTATAGCCCCTTTGCTCAGTAGTTTCGCTATCTCGGCACGAAGTAGATGAGACACTTCGTTTTTCACCGTAGTTTCGACGCGCGCCGTATAGCGGCGTGGGCGTCGAGCGAATTGTAGCGAATAGCCTCTCTTTATAGTGTTCAGCACCCATTCTGATACCCCGGGAAGCTTTGACCACGCATCTGCATGAATAGCTAGGGGCAGAATGAAATCCGGGCTCTGGTCGCGGCAAAACGGCAACTCGAGAGCCCGGGCATACTGGGAACACAACACCGTGTTTACAGCGTTCGAGGCGGGGGGCGCGCTGATCACAGCGGGCGGCCTGACCGCGCTCAGCTTTTTTATGGCAGATAGTGCAGAAAAAGCGAGCGGGGGAGATCCCGTAGGAATCGGCGTGTCTGTGACAAAATGTGGGCGCGGGGCTGCGGGCACATTTATTACACTGAAAACACCGTCGTTCATGGCCGACTGAATGTGTGTTGGTTTCGTTTTTACAGAAACCAAGGGACACGCAGCATGTAGTGTGAGCGGGCATGGTGACATGGGCGCGTTTACTACATTGTTTGCACAATCGACCTGAGTAGAGTTTATTTGTGCTAGCCCTGCACCGTGGCGGGCTGTGTCTGGGTGTGGGAATGGGCACTGGGTGGGCATTCTTACAACACTCATAACACCATCGGCCGTGGCCGGATTGTTTGTGCGAGCCCTGCATTTTTGCGGGCTGTGTTTGTGTGTAGAAATGAGCCCTGGGTTGTAGGCATTTTCAATACACTCATAACACCATCGGCTGTGGCCGGAATATCAGAAAATACACCATTTATGTGATTTATCTGGGTCGCCGTGGGAACAGCATTAGTGTGCAGGCAAGCGGGCATGGTACTGGCTTGCTTACTGCAAAATACACTGGAACAGTCACATTTTCTGGAACTGAACGAGCGAAAATTTCAGTGGAAGTCTGGCCACGGCGAGACTGAAACACCGTCAATTTCCTAGGAGGCTAGGAAGACTTGTGTTGGTTTCGTTTTACAGAAACCGTGGTAGTGTATGTGGGCACTGGGTTGTGGGCACATTCACTACATTTAATGCACAATTGTGCGAGCCCTGTACCGTGGCTGGCTGTGTTTGTGTGTAGAAATGAACACTGGGCTGTGAGCATTTTATTACACTTATAACACCATCGGCTGTGGCCGGAAAACCAGAAATACAATGATTTTTCTGGGTCGCCATGGAAACGGCCTTTATGTGCAGGCAAGCGGGCCGTGGTACCAGCTTGTTTACTGCAAAATACACTGGAACAGTCGCATTATCTGGAACTGAACGAGCGAAAAGTTTCGGTGGAAGTCTGGCCGCGGCGAGACTAAATTTTTATCTGCTGCGAGAGCCGGGATCGAACACGGGTCTCCCGCGTGAAAGCTTCAGGTTCCGCCACTGGGCCACAGGGAGAACTACACTAGCGCAAGCAGATAAGAGAGCGTCATCACAGTTTTGTGTGTGTCGGCGTTTGTATGCAGGTGTGCGTGTTATACAACAGGCTCATTGCTGCAATAATGACATTTTCAGCCGCTCAAACTAGGAGCTGAGAAATGTTTGAGAAATGGAGATTAATCCGGCCTCGGCGGGGACTAAAACACAATCTTTTCTCATTTGCCGGTGACGCACGCCCATGGGGGGCGGGGTAGAATGCTGGCCCGTTTCCTTGACGACTCGCGGACAGAAGGCGGAGGTCCACAGAGCTCGCCTGTTGCGCGGCGGTTGCGCGGGCGCTTCCCAATCGAGGCCGATGCTTTCAACGGCCTGAGAGAGCAGACGCATTAGCTCAGTCTCAATGCCGGCTCTCTTACCAGTGGTCTGGCGGGAAACGCTAGCGGAGGGGAGATCCACGGAGCTCGCCCAATCCTCACTATCGGACGCCAGAAGAGAACACGCCTCGGAGGGTTCGTCAGGCTCGTGGATGGACGCGGCGGCAGGCGGCGGCCGTTGTCCGTCAGTGAGCGACTCGAGCGAAGCCGGCGAAGCAGGCGGGCGAACCGGCGAGCTTTGGCGGGCTGGAGATAGCTCGGGAGCGCGCTGGGCGCGGCGCTTTTACGGCGCGGCGTCACGGCGGGCTGTGGTGAAGGCTCGGAGAATGATGCCAGGCGCGTCCTCAGAGTCACCATGGGCAAAAACTCGCAATGAGGGCATCCGCCGTCAGCGAGCGCGATAGCCGCGTGATCCTCACCCAGACAGGAAACACAGATGACGTGTCGATCTCCATCACTGAGCGGGGCGCGGCACGAGCCACAGGAAGGCATCTTTAAAAAGACGCTGCTCTTTTTGTGAGAGAAGTGTAAGTCGCGTCAAGTAAGCGAACAAACACTTCTCAACAGAGAAATACACACAGAGTATTTGAAAGGATATATAACGCCGGAAAGCGCAGCAGGTACGGCAGATGAAGGCGGCGAGGCCAGCGACTCCAGAGCTCGTCCCGCTGAAAGGCTTGCTTCGACGGCGCGGCTTCTCACTCCGGATCCAGCGATGCGTGTGCTTCGCTGAAGAGGTAAAAATCAGCTTGTATCAGCCTAACGAGCATATTTATAGGGCGAGACCACGCCCCTTCTGGCGGGACGTGACGATATGGGCGCGAATTGCCCCCATTGGTCATTACGTCACGCAGAGTCTCTCTCGATAGGCTGCTGCATTTGCTGCAGAGCAACCAATAGGCGCGCGAGCTGTTTCGCCTATGTTTGCTTGCTGCTGCAAAGCGTTTTGCATTAATAAAAAATTAAAGGATAATTTTTGGCTTCAATATCTCGCGGAAAAGAGTTTTTCCCCTAGCGTAAAGCTATTACGCAGTACGAGAGATACTCTCGTAAGAGAACAGGAAAGTAGAGGCATAGATTCCGTGGGCGTGACGTCTGAGGCTGAGACTACGTCTTCCCCAACACTGCTTATTGTAAGCCGGTTATGAATGTAATTTGATACTTATGACTGATCATGCCCAAACGCGCGTTCAGTCTGTTCACAGTGGTGTTTGAACCTGAACCTGCTACAGTCGATGGAAACAGTCAGTCTTCGGATGTTTCAGCAAGTCGTAAGTGTGTCCCCAGCATTAGTCTGCTGTCTTTTTTAATCTAATTGGTGCAACAATATCTAATGTACTAGAGAAAATGGTGCTCAAACTGCTGGTCATTTCCTCTAGTTCATCTGTTTGTTTGGGTTCACTGAGCAGCTGAGATAGATCAGGTAAGCTATTTGAGAATCTATCTAACGTTATAGTGGTTGGAAGGATTGTTCTGCCTGGTCGATAACGTGGCGCAAAATGACAAATTTCAGTAGACAAATTCCTCGAACACGCCCACACACCCGAGCACATTACGATGTAAGACATTATTAGAATGCAATCATAGATAAATTATTGGAAACATGATTAATTTACCTCCCGAATCTATTGCGTGTAACGTTACTATCTGCGATTAAAAAGCACTCAATCGCAATATCAACTGCGGGGAAAAAAAATTCAATAAAGAAAGCATCAAGATATACTTACTTGACTGATTATTTGCAGTATAACATCTCATCTGCAAACAGCCAAACGTGGCGCTCCTTTTGTTCTCTTCTTGTTTGGGAAGCTTCAGTTTCCTCATGCACCGCCATTACAGAAACATAACAGCGCATTTTTTTTTTTTTTTTTGAACAATTATTCATGTACAAACAGTAAGGCAATAGTAACAATTCTTTACATAATACAAACAAATAATTACAGCACAGGTGCATGAAATAAAATAAACTTCAAATAAATAAATAAAATAAAAATAAAGTAGGGGCTAAGGTTTTTTTGTTAAATCATACTCTTCTATGACAGATAAAAGACTAATTGCATTTTTCTTTTTTATCACTTTGAGGGCTTTTGTAAATGAAACAAATTCACCATGAAATGCACAGAACATTGGTTTCACCTTAAGGTATTTTGATTTGTGTACAAAAAATTTCCCCAGCATAAGGATATTATTAACCAGGAAGTTATCTTTGTTATTATTCATTAAACGTCCATAAATAATGTCCTTTTCAGTGAGGTCTTCGAGGTGAGGTATCTTTGGGTAGAGCCAGTCGTAAATATCAGACCATAACCCAGCAAACATGCTTCTTTGGGGCCCGAATGGGGCCCTTGCGGGCAGCCCACTGTGGGCCCAGATACCGGCGTGAAATGCGGGGCACGTGTGGGTCCCACACTTTGGGACCCAGGTGGGGCCCCAGTGGGCCAGCCCAAAAGTGTGGGCTGACTGTGGGCAGGCCCACAGTAAGTAGAGTGGGCCCCATTGGGGCCAGTTGTGGGCCCACAGCAAACCCTTATAGGGGCCCATGTGGGGCCATTGCGGGCAGCCCACTGTGGGCCCAGATACCGGCGTGAAATGCGGGGCACGTGTGGGCCCCACACTTAGGGACCCAGGTGGGGCCCCCAGTGGGGCAGCCCAAAAGTGTGGGCTGACTGTGGGCAGGCCCACAGTAAGTAGAGTGGGCCCCATTGGGGCCAGTTGTGGGCCCACAGCAAACCCTTATAGGGGCCCATGTGGGGCCATTGCGGGCAGCCCACTGTGGGCCCAGATACCGGCGTGAAATGCGGGGCACGTGTGGGCCCCACACTTTGGGACCCAGGTGGGGCCCCAGTGGGACAGCCCAAAGTGTGGGCTGACTTTGGGCTGGCCCACACAAATTAGAGCAGGCCCTCATGTGGGCTGGATGTGGGCACACTGTGGGTGCAGGTGCAAAGTTTGAGCACACAGAGTAGGTACACCCACATTACTATATGCAGTACAATTGCACTTGTTAGCAGCAATAAATCGAGGGTCATGTTTTTTTCCCCAAATAATTTATTTATATTTAATAATAATTATAATTAATAATAATACAGTTTAAAACAGCAATAACCACAAAAACAGAAACACAGAACACTTAAAACACGTCAAAGTAAATTAAAAAAAACAATCCCCTCAGGGGCACCAGTAGGTATTTCTGCAGTTCTGGCCCTTCCTTGCCTTCCCTCATCTCTGTCCCTGGCATCACGGAGCCATGTCTTTATAGAGGCTTTCACCTCACATGCAGTGGCTTGACTGATTTTTGTCACAGCATCTAAGTGAGAAAGGATCAACATACAAATGTTAAAAACAAAATAAGGGTTGTACTGTTAAGCCATTTCAACCTAAGAAAGTTTTCAACCTGCACTTTGAATGAGGAAACGTCTTCTGATTGTTCCAGGTGCTATTTATAAATGCTCAACTGAGAGAATGACTGAATAGGGCAATGAGAGAGCTGCGGTTTATAATAACGTTCAGTTGTAAGTCATTTAGTGGTTAGTTAATGATGAACTAAGGGTTTACAAAACATTCATAAATGATTAGCAAGTGATATACTAACATTTTATGTATGTTTTGTAAATTCTGTTACAAGTCATTTACAAGTGATTAGTAAATAATTAACTATTTTTTTATGTTTAATACGTGATATGTTAATTATTGTATGCATGTTTTGTAGATTCAGTTATAAGTCATTTACAATTGCTTAGTTAATGATTAACTAATCATTTACAAAACATGAACGTTTCATAAATATTTAATAAAGGTTTTTATTTTCTCCCTACTCTTACAAAATTACAAACAACCAGCCTGAAAAACATGTTGTATGAAGACTGTTTAAAACACCCCTCCTAATCCTCACAGAATTTGCAAGACAATGTCTATAATAAATAGTGTGTGTAATTTCTTCAGTACCATCAGCAGAGCTGATAACGCCTGGGCTTATTGATACAGCAGTCTTCCTTAATTTGGCCACAGGGCCCGTTTAATGTTTAATACCAGGTTTCGGTACCCATCCCTACATATGGGTGAGTTCATATGGATGAAAAGCCTGTTGTGTTCTGTCTCTTGGTTTGTAATAGTGGCAGCTATAGTGAAACTCACCTTCGTCATCTACTTAGTGTGGATGGCATCAAGATCTGTGCCCGGTTGCATAAAGCACCTTAAAGGGATAGTTCACTTTGAAATAATTTTTTGGTATGTTTTAGCTTACCTCAAGGGCATCCAAGATGTAGGTGTCTTTGTTTCTGCAGTAGTTTCAATTTTGATATTTTTAGGTCAAACCGTTCTTGTCTGTCAGTCATATAATGCAGGTCTATGGTCACCACCTCAAAGAGCATGCACAGAGAAGTCCAGATTAAACATGATTTACTGACTCGTAAATGTAAGTACACATTGATGGCCTAAGACACGAAACGAGCGGTTTGTGTGAGAAAACGAACAGTATTTATATCGTTTTTACCTCTTGTAAACACAGCCAGGTCCAAGTGATCTGACGGCACCGGCGCTTCGGTCTTTTCCGGAAAGCGCCGGAAGTGATCTCTCGCGCGTGTACGTCACTCATTGTTTACACAGAACACTCATTGTTGACTGACAGACAAGAACGATTTGACCTAAGGGAAACATAAGGGTGAACTTAAGGGAAAATTACACTTAAGGTGCTTTATGCAACCGGGCACTGGTCCTGAAGAATCACAGGGTCAAATGATTATATCTTATCTGGTAACAAGAGCATAGCCATAACTATAAAAACTCTAATGATATCTTTACCCCCTGATATTGCATTGCGGATGTAAATTCATTTATAATTTATAATTCATGATATAATACATTTTAAAGAGTATGAGCCACGAGTAAACTGGACAGATCTGTGAAAAATAACTTGCGTGCCTAAAGTTGTCGACCCCCTGAATTCAGCATTTAAAAGTAAAAAGAATTTCAGTATTTATCAGTAAAAAATACATAAAAATAAATAAATACCTTTGAGTTGGACAGTATGGTGTCTGTCTCATTGGCCAACATAATTAAAAACACACCAAGAGAAAAAATATATATATATATATATATACCAGTGACCATGATATCCTGTTATCATAATAGTTAAATTAATTATTATAACTATGACCATTATAACATTATATTTGCCGCCTATTTAGCCTAAAGGCTTCTCAAGGACAATATCACTGAAAAAAACTGGGGTTAATGAATTTAAAGTGTGAGACTTCATTAAAAAGCATAAATCCTACAGACCCCCAACTTTTGAACAGTATGTTTGAGGTTTTGCTTACTAGTCGAGTTCATAGCCGTGGAGATTGTCTTGGACGGGGTGCAGCAGGCCATCAGCATGATGATCTTCTAGAACATAACATGCAATGTGTCACAGAGCCAACAATGTTACATAGGATTTACAATAGAACATAGGGTTCATTACAAGGAAGCAAGCTAGAGATGAAATGCAGAAAAGATAAAAAAAATATATATATATAATCTTAAGGCAATATATATTGTGCAATAAATGCATATGAAATTATTATCATGATTAAACAATAATTCCCCCTTTGTTGTGGAGGTTTTTTTTTCTGTCCCTCCTGAAATCACTTTTATTATCAATATTTGTAAGTGACGTCACTGATTAACAGTACGTTACAGTGAATTCTTTCAGGTTACAATCACCCATTGACAAATTACCAGCAAAACAAAACTATCAAAAACTGTTATCAACACAAAGATGTGGTTAAAACCCCAAACTTAGGTAAAACAAGAGCTCAAGTGTAACGTTAACTTACTCTTCTGAAAACGGTTGAGATGCTAACGGACTTTTTCGAAGACACAAAACCATTTCAATAAAGTAAATATTCAACAGAAGCGTATCAATTATACGTAGAAATGTGTCAGGAACGTTTGTATGTATTATTTGTGTGATTTTGTTAACTAAACTTACCTGAAAGCAGTGAAAACACCAGGGAGAGACGCTAGTTTTGCTGTTTGTCAGTTGATGAGGTTCCCTCGTTTCCATGGTTTCCATCTGCTCGCGTGCGTGCGTCTTTGAATCAGACAGCTTTGAATGCGACTCAATGTTTACGCGCACGCGCATTGAAACCATAGAACAATTCAAAAGGCACGCAGCATTTAAATAAACATCTAGAATTAAAACATTTAACAATTTAAATTATCATTAATTTTAAATCATGAATTTAAAAATCATTTTGTAGTTCTGTATGACCCATCATTTTGTATGACCCATGTAATTTTTTTTTTTTTTTTTTTTTTTTTACATTAAAATAGAATATGAAAGCACTGCTTTAAATGAAAGATGGTAATGAAATTACAGGCCCGTGACGTTGCAGTTTCGTTGCCAGCAAGTCATAAAATTACCAAGTTATTACGATTAGAGTACGTATCTGCGACGTTGTTGGTTATATTATAACCTTAGGAGGACGCACTGACGACGTTGTGGGTTGGTAATATGATGGTGATGAAATTACGGGCATGTGATGTAGTTACGTTGCCAGTAAGTCATAAAATTACCAAGTAATTACGATGTACACAATCATTTCGATCTTCAAAGTACCAATTTATAGAGGTAAATCCCCGCAAGGGGGATGGGGCCCCAAGTCCCAGAGTGAGGTATTTGTTAACCATAACAAATAATTGTGTCTGATTGGTCTCAGTCGTTACATCAGTGATGTATTTATTAGTATCAATAATAAATAATTTTATTATAATAAATATACATCACTAATGAATACCAAAACAAATCAGTAACCCATTTCCATTGTTTTTATTGTGACAAATAAGTTAATTTTATTTAATAAATACGTAACACTTTCTATGCAGTCCATGCTTATAATGAATTATAGCACCATTTATACTTATTTATGAGCAATATTACTATTCTATAAATAAATTTATAAAGACTCATTAAGACCTACTGCATTACAATATATAGTTACATATTATTTTTTATAATTCCTTATAAGTCACAAATTTGTTATTTTAAATGGACATGCTCATAATCCATTATATGCCGCTTTAGTTAATTATGGACTGTTGAATGAAATAACATTTATGACATTTCACGGGATCGTTAAATAGTTTGATTAAGCTTCTAATCTTAAACCTTTTAATCTTAAAACATATGACTGTTAAACAACTTAAAACAATGTACCGTTATGGTGAGTTGCCCACAGTAAACCCTCGTGGGGGCCCCATAGTGAAAAACAGCTATGTGCCCCGCATGGGCTAACTGCCTGGGGGCCCGTGTGGGTTTTCTGTGGGCAAACCCACAGTGGGTTGCCCACAGTAAACCCTCATGCGGGCCCAAATGGGCAAAACTGCTATGGGCCCCACATGGGCTAACCCACAAGGGGCCCTTAAGGGGTTTTCTGTGGGCAAACCCACAGTGGGTTGCCCACAGTAAACCCTCATGCGGGCCCAAATGGGCAAAACTGCTATGGGCCCCACATG